CAACGGAAACCGCCAGACAAGTTTATGAAGGGACAGTGTTGGGGGCTACAAAAAACAGTGTTTTAGGTGCTTGTGCTGTATAATTAATACATTGCAAAAAAACACAAAAAAACAATTCCTTTCTCTGTAGAAGCATTTATTCAGATCTCCGTGATGAAATGCAGTAGGTCAGTGAGGACTAACGTACGTGAGCTATAGCTTTCCCCATCATGGTTTCTTCAAGATGGTCCACCTTCCTTCCTTCTCCGCCAGTATGATGGGAAACTCTTAGTAGAAATGAACGACATGGAACATTGCTTACAAAGCCACTCTTGTTTAAGAGATTGGTTCCCCATCAGTGAATGCTAAGATCTTGCGTGCACGTGGAGTGCATTGTGGCATCATGATGAACCACAACTCTCTGATGAATCTCCCTGTGTTTTACATTTTAACAAATGTTCTCATTCACACATTGGATCTTATGGTAAATATGCTATACGTGTTTTGTACAGACCTCTTTAAAAACCCTAAAATAAGTAAATCAGCCCTTAGTTTGGAAGTTCAGTTTCCTTTCGTGAAACAAGGGTTCTACAGGTATTGGCGATCAGAGAAGGCAATGACTTCTCTTCAGTTCTATGAGTAACATGGAGATGAAGTCATATGAAGGAAAAGGAATTCACTGCACTGATCAACTTCGAAAAGGCCAATGAATTCAGGATCAAGTCCTGTATTACTTTGAACGGGTTTAACTACATCCCTAACTAATTTAAGAGAATTGGGTTTCATTTAAAGCACAAATGTAGGTCTCTGCTATTTCACCACCCTACCCCCCAAATGAAGATTGCCCAGTTTGTCTACACCCCGTGATATTTCTGCTTTTTCTGGGAAAGAGATCTGCATCCCAAAATACATGACCTGAAATCAACTAATCAGAATTTAAAATGAAAATTGTCAGTTCCCATCAGAGCCTGTGGACGTTTGGAAAAGAATGGTGAGACTTCCTCATTTGTCTGGTTAGCTGCTGGAAAAATTGAGACTCAACTCTATCATAGGCTTTTGTGAGCATTCATAATTTGAGTTATGCTTCGGATATGTTTAAGGTGTCCAAGCTCATGCAATTATTTGGGCTTCCTTATGGTGAAAGGATGGTACCTCCTTCCTTTTATCATGGAAATGAGATGGCAGTTGGATACAACCTGATGCTTGCTCACCTCAAAGTTCTGCTGGTGAGATTTCCAACCTTCAAAGAAAAAGTCTTGTGTCTGCAAATGGCACCCAAGAGATGCTACTTAATATGCATAGTAGAGGAAGAACAATGCAACTCTTCAACTATTAGCAGTGGCCTAGTTAATTCTGTGGAGCCGTGCATTGTTCCCCTGTGATTATGCTTCCAAATAAAATAGTTATAAATACAGATAACTACCACCCCAAATGTTGTTATGGTCAAAGGTCAGAACAAGTATAGGTACAAGTAATTGGGTTGAAAAAAAAGGCTTTGCAATGCACAAAAGTGCATAGAAAGGACCTATTTTTGAATATTAAAGCAGCTGGGTCTTTTTTGAAGCATGTACAGCTGTTATGGAAGCTGCTCCTGGCTGTTTCACACATGAACATACATAGCCACCTCGCTTCCTGGAAGCTGTTCATGAAGCAGCTGTGTAAGCCTGGAGTCTGAATGCTTGCAACAGTACACACATTATTTGTATTGCAAATAAGTAAATAATACACAGCTGCTTTAATGAGCCAAAGAGAGGACATAGCTCTTTTGAAGGATTTGCACAGCCCTAACACACAAAATTCTGAGCATCCTTCTGCCAAAATAAGGCAATTTGGTACTACTTGAAATAGCCCCATGACTTGGCCCTTCGCTTGCTTTTTGTTAACAGCGTGTAATCAAGGGAGCACGTTTAGTTTTTCAAGGTGTTCATGAACTTTTCATTTCATTAATCTGTTTTTCCTCTTTCCTTGCCTGACTTTGAACTCATAACTCTCATTCATCGCCTGGTGCATGGAACTGTTGCCTTCGCTGCAGGGCTGTGGAAGAAGTGCTGTTTTAATTCTGCTCCAGACAACGATGTTTGTTACAGACAGATGAATATACTTGTCTGTTTGTGGTTTTTAATTCCTGGTTATTGTCATTTGAGGTTTTTGAAGTTTACCTGTGCACCTCTGGCATGTTATGCAAAAGTAAAATTGACCAGGGCTAATTAATATTTCAGGGTTAAGAGAGAGGGCTCTATAAATCGGGGGAGAGTATTTTTTTCAGATTGGCCATATTTCTTTTTTTTTTAACACATCTTTAGACCACGAACCCCAAAACAACTCTGGGTGGCTTCCCCAAATTAAAAAAGAATTTTAAATAAAAGCAACAATCATACATAAACAACAACTGTCTGAGGGAACCATAAACCATCTTCCACTCCTCTCCCAACTTAAAGGGGCCCCCTGGAAGAAAACCCAGGTTTTTGAAGATCATGTGAAGGCAGGTAAGGTGGTGACCATATGACCCACCATTTAGGAAAAGACCTCAAGAAATAGGATTGATGATGTCCGGTAAGACGAAGCCCAAGATTAGAATTCTGCTCAATCTTGCAGAGGTCTTATATAGAAAGACATGGCTGTTAATTTTTACTGATTCATATTAGTGGAAATTTGCTA